GAAACATATTCTCAATAATTTATTTATTGTAATTTTGGATTATATTTTTTTGTTCTCACAAAAATATATCTAATTTTTAATTTTGGGTAATCATTCATTCTCCCTATGCTGTATGTGCAAGCAAAAGATTTTTCAAACAATTCAACACGATATGCAGCTCAATTTGCCATTTCAAAGATTTACATGTTTTTCTATGTGTGTGTGTGTGTGTGTATGTGAGTTTTTTCATCTTCTTCCACAATTCCAGAAAGAGAAAACGTTTTATTCTTTATTTGTTGTAGCTGTAGTTGTTGTCGTTGTTGTAGCTGCTGCTGTATTCCTTATAGCAAACGAAAGAGATTGTATTTTAACCAGAAAGATTATGTTTGCATTTCAATTTGCATGAATAGTATCGAAGAGTGTTGAACCAAATGACATTTCTTAAAATATATAAAAAAATGTTGTTGTTGTTGGTGCTGTTGCTGCTGCATACCATTGTAAATCCTTGGCATACCAAAGTGTTTGTTAGTTGTTCACAATGTAGATAAGGGTATGTTTTTCGGGTGGGAGAATATTTGTAGATTTAAGATTTTACATCACAAGAGCTTAAGTGAAATATATTAAGATAATTTCAAGAAGAATCGACACTTTGACTCATTGAAGTGCTATAGAGGATCCTATATTTGAGGAAAATAAATATACGTGTATCTATCTATTGAAGATCTGCGGGTTTTCTATGTGTTAAATACCTCTCTAAAGACCCAAGGAGGGTCTGTTGAAGACTCTCGGAAAATCATAAAGGACTCATAGTAGATATTCTATTCATTGGATACAAATTTATTATATTGAAGACAGACGGTCTTCGGTATATTGAAGACCCCACAAAATCTTTAATTTATATAAAACCCACAGAAGACCTCCAAGGACCAAAGAAGAACCTATAGAATACGTACATTAATTATCTTATTTTTAGAAGACCTATGGAAAGCCTTCCGCTTAGAGCAAACCAACAGATAGGCTATATATATTTAAGACTCAAATGTCTTCTGGCATGGAATGGACACCCCTGGCATGGAATGGACACCATCAAGTTTCATCGATTTAAAGAAGACCTTCTATCGAAGGACCTTATCTAAGGAAGATACACATATGACTTTCTATTTATAGTAAACCCACATTAATTTGAACCATGATCCACTTAGGATTTTAAATCTATAAAAAACCCCACAACAAGTCCAAAGACATGGTAAATGAATATAGGACATACACAATCTTGAAAATCTACATGAACTCTATACAAAAGTCCTCAATTGGAGGTCCACAAATGGCCTGCTATGTGTAACAGCCAATAGAGGTTCTTATTTCTATTGATTATATACAGATGAGTTTCTGCCCTCAGAACCACATAGTGTCCTTGAAAAAATATGATTTAAAAAATCAATGCCTAGCATTTGTTAAAAATCCATTATTCTTTTAGAATTTTTTTTTTGAAAATCAATGCGCCATAGTTGGTCATATAAAGATATTCTGTAAAAATCAATGCTTCTGATGGTCCTTGAAGAATATCCTTTAAAAAATCCCCGCCTTGTGTTGGTCCTTGAAAAAATATTCTTTAAAAAATCCACGCCTTGTGTTGTCTCTTGAAAAAATATTCTTTTCAAAATCCATGCATTGTTTTGGTCCTTGAAAAAGTATTCTTTAAAAATTCCACGCCTTGTGCCTAGATGTAGACTTTTGTCCAATATTAGAATGCAAGTGTCTGTAGTTATATATTTCGTTTTTTTTTTTTCGTTTTTCTTTTCTTGAAAATCAGTGCGCCATCGTTCTCATCTTACCTTTGGGTGAAGATGAGAACGATGGGTAAGATAGGAAAGTTCCTCCTCCAAGAAAGCACACAGTTCACAGATGTTAATCAGCAAGGAATCACGCAATGATGGAAATCGTCAAAAAAATATCTGCTGGATGCTTTTGTTGTGCCTTTAGCATGTTACTATATGAATTCACTGCATAAGGACCTCATTCCATTTCCAGTATTTCCAGAACGTTCGTTTATGTGGATGATTATATGTGATACAGGTTCATAATTTTCAAAAATAATATTAGACCGATTCTTTTTCTCTCTCTTAAATATAAAATCAGTCTAGAGTATACATCAGGTCAGATATATCTTATATTATCATTTCGCATCTATTCATGACACATCCCAGTAATTATTTCTCATTGATTCTTAAACTGCTTCATTGATTCTATTCAGTTCTATTCATTATTTTCATAATTATTAATTTATACCCAAACCCCTCCCTCAAAAGTACTTATTACAAAATATTCAAATTTCCATTATAAAAAAAAAACAAAAACAAAAATTGTTCCACTTACCTCGGTTTCATTTTCATTAATTCACCCAGTGTTGGATTTTTGCCATCATCATTACCATCATTGTCGACAATGACATGGCCATATTGCAGCGTCCCCGTATAATCGTTAACAATTTTAACTAAATCTTCAAAACGATCATGCGGTATTGGTTTCTTTGTTGTCAACATTGACTGTCGTACTTCGGCCGCAGCAGCTGCTGCAGCATTTGGCTCTTGGAAGCCGGTGGCAACCATGCCAGCACTTTGGCTACCCGCACTGCCACCGGCAGCACTGCCGGGTCGGGCTTGGGTTGTTTGAGGCGTTGAGGTCTCTTTAGAACCAGAATAATTACTGTAACGAAAAAACAAGAACAACGAAAAATAAATTATTAAGCACAAAAATAGTATAAAAAATGAGCATTTATAAATAGTTTTCATTATTTTTTGTTCTGGTAATACAAAGTTTTACAAACAACAAAATTAAATTAGTTTCATTTGTTCAAAATTATAGAAAACTGCATGAAAATGAAATATATAAATGCATCTCTCCCTCTCTACCGTACCAAAATTTAATTACAACTTGGGAAGACGAATATGAAGACTAAGTACTACGGGTAGTAGTAGTAAAAAAGTGTAGCTCTAAATTGGAACACTAAACTGGGCTACGACAAGAAGTTGAAACTTTTACATTAAGCTGTAAAGTGTGGATGCAAAGGGTGTTGTTTATTAAATGTGAAAGAAAACAAATTTAAACATTCAGGCATTAGAAAATAGTTTTTTAGTAGATCCACGATTTGTTATTGAAAAACTATTCTGTAAAAAATCCACATCTTAAATTCTTTTAAAAAAATTATTAAAAAAATCCACTCCTCGAAATTGTCCTTGAAAATTATTTTTTCAAAATCCACGTATTGAAATGGTCCACGCTTTGTAATGGTCTTTAAAAAATTCTTTAAAAAATCCACGCCTTGTACTGGTCCTTAAAAAATATTCTTTAAAAAAAAATATTCTTTAAAAACTCCACGCCTTCTAATGGCGTGTAAGTATTCTTTAAGAAATCCACGCCATCTAATGGTCCTTGAAAAAAGTATTCTTTAAGAAATCCACGCCTTCTAATGGTCCTTGAAAAAAGTATTCTTTAAGAAATCCACGCCTTCTAATGGTCCTTGAAAAAAGTATTCTTTAAGAAATCCACGCCTTCTAATGGTCCTTGAAAAAAGTATTCTTTAAGAAATCCACGCCATCTAATGGTCCTTGAAAAAAGTATTCTTTAAGAAATCCACGCCTTCTAATGGTCCTTGAAAAACGTATTCTTTAAGAAACCCACGCCATCTAATGGTCCTTGAAAAAAGTATTCTTTAAGAAATCCACGCCTTCTAATGGTCCTTGAAAAAAGTATTCTTTAAGAAATCCACGCCATCTAATGGTCCTTGAAAAAAGTATTCTTTAAGAAATCCACGCCTTCTAATGGTCCTCCTGAAAAAAGTATTCTGAAAAAAGTATTCTTTAAGAAATCCACGCCTTCTAATGGTCCTTGAAAAAAGTATTCTTTAAGAAATCCACGCCATCTAATGGTCCTTGAAAAAAAGTATTCTTTAAGAAATCCACGCCTTCTAATGGTCCTTGAAAAAAGTATTCTTTAAGAAATCCACGACTTCTAATGGTCCTTGAAAAAAGTATTCTTTAAGAAATCCACGCCATCTAATGGTCCTTGAAAAAAGTATTCTTTAAGAAATCCACGCCTTCTAATGGTCCTTGAAAAAAGTATTCTTTAAGAAATCCACGCCATCTAATGGTCCTTGAAAAAAGTATTCTTTAAGAAATCCACGCCATCTAATGGTCCTTGAAAAAAGTATTCTTTAAGAAATCCACGCCTTCTAATGGTCCTTGAAAAAAGTATTCTTTAAGAAATCCACGCCATCTAATGGTCATTTAAAAAAGTATTCTTTAAGAAATCCACACCCTCTAATGGTCATTGAAAAAAGTATTCTTTAAGAAATCCACGCCTTCTAATGGTCCTTGAAAAAATATTTTTTAAGAAATCCACGCATTCTAATGGTCCTTGAAAAAATATTCTTTAAAAAATCCACGCCTTCTAATGGTCCTTGAAAAAATATTCTTTAAAAAATCCACGCCTTCTAATGGTCCTTGAAAAAATATTCTTGAAAAAATATTCTTTAAAAACTCCACGCCCTCTAGTGGTCCATGAAAAAACATTCTTACAAAAATCCATGCCTTGAATTAATATTCATTAAAAATCAAGCCTTGAAAAAAACATTCTTTAAAAAATCCAAGCCTTGAAAAATATTCTTAAAAAATCCACGCCTTGAAAAAAATATTCTTTAAAAAATCCACGCCTTGAAAAAATATTCTTAAAAAAATCCACGCCTTGAAAAAATATTCTTTAAAAAACCCACGCCGTGAAAAAATATTCTTTAAAGATCCATGCCTTAAAAAATATCTTTTAAAAAATCCACCCCTTGTTTTGGTCCTTGAAAAAATAAAGGTATGCATTATAGATTATAGTGGGCTTATATTATCTTCCTTTCTATATGATTTCCCTTTCCATCCACCCCTAAACACCCTATCCTGCGATGCTGTGAAAATGCAAAACTTTTTCCAAAGTTCATTTTCCGCAAAATTGTGCATCTGCCACACTGATTACGTTGATTTGAATGATTTGCACAATACCTTTCATTGCGCCGACTTCGTATAAAAGTTTTGATAACTTTTTTCCTGTTCCTTCGACGATGGCGGTGGCGTCGCCGTCGTCCATTCAATAACACGTCTTCATTATAAAAGAAACTCACTACCACACGTAGGAGTCTGGATCACCCACCTAGCCATCAAAGCCATCCTAAGCACTCACCCTCTCCCTTCACAAACCTGACCGACTGAGGAAAATAAGCCAAGCCAAAGAAGTTGCACTGAAGTACATCTACTATAAGTCTAATAATCTCAAGCTTATAAAGTTTGAAGAACTGTTTGTGTGAGTGTGTGTCTGTGTTGGTGAGTGTTTGTTTTTGTTTCCTTATCCGGCAAACGAGAATAGAAAACAGAAAAACAAACACCTTCGCTTGGTAGAGGTGATGCCGGGCACCAAAGCACTACTTATCCCTCCAACCTGCAGAGCAGAGTGTGTTAGTAGTAGTTTTCACTTTTATTCACTAACGTTTTGCTTTCCTTATGGGTGTCGTTTCGACGTGGTCGTTGTTTTTGTTGTTGTTGTTTTGAGCAATATTACACTAAAAGTTCATTGCAATTCTATGGTAGCTTCCTAAAGTGGTGTTATTTTCATGCTGTTTCCTTATTCCCGTAGAATTGTTAGTTAATTGTTTAAACATTTTTGGCGAAGCTTGAGATGTGGCTACGCTATTTTATCTCGGTTGGGGAGAAGAATAATTTTTACATTTTCCTCATTTTGCCATGATTTTTACCTGGGTTCAGATATTCTATTGTTTTGGCGATTTTCGAAACGGAACGTGTTGTATGCTATGGTTAAGTGAATAATCTAGAACAGCATGTGGAGTGGTAGATTGGGATTGAAGTGGATTAGAAAGATTTCAAATTAAAATAGAGGGATAACTTAACCTATTCCTCCATCGCACTATGGGTAAAAAGTGTGATTTTTTGGCATAAAGTCATTTTTTTTTTGTTTTCATATTTTGAAATGTAACTGATTTCCTAAATGTAGACACCCATATTAGAAAAAAAAACATTCAATATCACTGCGGGTGGCAACCTTTTTTTTTGCTGGCGAGCTTTAAAAGTCAGCAGTTTGAAAGTCACATTGTTTTGGTACAACTGGCGGTAAAAATCAGCTAAGTTCGAGTGCTTGTAATTTGACAAAATTGAAAAAAATTAAAATGTGTAATTATGGAAAACGTTAGTGCAGGTATGTAAAATTAAGACGAGATGCCCTTTTTGTCATATTTGTCTGTTGTTGTAATACTGTGAAATGTTTTGTTTATGTATAACTTTATATAAAATCTATAAATTGTAGTTTTGTTCCGTGGAGTGTAACTTGTGAATGGCAAAGCATTGCAAAAAGGTGTAAATGCCAAGTTATTAACAAAAGTGTGTTAAGTAAGGAGTAACTAGCCTTTTTTGTGCTATTTTGTGCCAACTCGTGTTTTTTACTGATAAACATGTGTTTGCCCATACAGCTCTTATTGAAATTTGGAGCAGCAAAAATCGCTCAGAAGATGCACTTGTGAAATATGTGCTACAGAATATCAATAATATCAGTTTAAATGAAGACCAAATGCGTTTGATATCGAAACAAGTTAAGGATTTTTTTAATTATATAAAAAAGCATTTGCCAAACTTCTACCGTAAATTAGAGCGATTTAAAACTAAACATTCAAAATGGCTTAGCAAAATTATAATTATAGTAATGGATGAGCAGTATGTTTCCATACAAAGCGTGGATTTTTTATAGAATATTTGTCAAAGGACCATACAAAGCGTGGATTTTTTAAAGAAGGACCATACAAGGCGTGCATTTTTTTAAGGAATATTTCTTAAAGGCGTGGATTTTTTAAAGAATATTTGTCAAAGGATCATACAAAGCGTGGATTTTTTAAAGAAGGAACATACAAAGCTTGAATTTTTTTAAAGAAGGAACATACAAAGCTTGGATTTTTTAAAGAAGGGACATACAAAGCTTGGATATTTTAAAGAAGGAACATGCAAAGCTTGGATTTTTTAAAGAATAATTGTCAAAGGACCATACAAAGTGTGGATTTTTTAAAGGACCATACAAGATGTGAATTTCTTAAGGAATATGTTTCAAAGGACCATACAAGATGTTGGTTTCTTAAAGAATATTTTTTAAAGGACCATACAAGATGTGGATTTCTTAAGGAATATGTTTTAAAGGACCATACAAGAAATGTATTTCTTAAGGAATATGTTTTAAAGGACCACACAAGAAGTGGTTTTAAAAATATTTTAAGGTCTAAAACGGTGTAGATATTTCAAAAAAATATTTTTTAAGGTCTAAAGAGGCATAGATTTGTAAGGAAATATTTTTCAAGGTCTAAAACGGTGTAAATATTTCAAAAAATATGTTTTAAGGTCTAAAGATGCGTAGATATTTAAAGGAATATTTTACAGGGTCTAAAAAGGAGTAGAATTGTAAAAGAATATTTTACAAGGTCTAAAAAGGCGTGGATATTTTAAAAAAATATTTTTAAGGATACTCAAAAAGGCGTGGATATTTTAAAAAATAATTTTAAGGTCGAAAGAGGCATGGATTTTCAAAAAATAGTTTTTTTCAAGGTCTAAAGAGGCGTAGATTTTTAAAAGAATTTTTTACAAGGTCAAAAAGGAGTGGATATTTCAAAAAAT